GGATCGAGTCTGTAGGATTAGTGTGAATAAATAATTTCAAAGTCCCAAGATTCATAGGGAAGTTGTAAGTTTGCTGCCTTGATTTTTTAAGTAGTCCCGAAGAATCCGAGGATAGGGATTAAACCAGGATCCAGCGGTGCCCTTGGGATCTCCAGCGGCGGTCGTGAAAAACTTTCAGTCATCTACTCGTTCTTAAATCCAAGTTTAGGAGGGGGGAGGGGAGTAAGGGGCGAGGAGAGCTAAAAAACAAATCCCGTTCATAGGACCAATTCCAAGAATTCCTGCGAGAGAAGGATATTGTCCAATTTGACCCCTGGGATAATTCTTCTCCGCTCTTAAGGATGATGATGTTGGATATTCGTATGAAGGTATTTTCCAGTTTAAAAATGATTTCGATCATATGCTTGATGCCAGGATATTTCTTCTATCTGACAATCCTATTATAGCCAGATTATTGATATGAGCTTCAATGCATTTCTAGAATAAAATTTCCGTTGCAATTTGCAGGTATCATTGGTTTTTCGGCAATATATATCCCCCCGGACCGCACTTCACTTTTTTAGTTTTAAGTGCGAGCACAATTACCTGGGTCCTGCATCCCGCCTTTGTTTACAGCTAAGGGATGAAACACAGAATGCATCTTAAAATTTCTGCTTGCACATGACATTCCAACTGATCCCTTATTTCCTCGCCCAATATTCCATACACCACCTTGTTAAACATCGAAATCCCGTATCAGGAAAGAAGGTCTATCACATCGAGTAGCTCCTTGACATAAAACAATACAAACATTGCGTTGGGTTAGGGCCTTCGGAGGTCTTGTCGGCTGGCCCGGTGCTCCGGCGCCTCCTCGGATCGTAGGGCTTGATCGTCGATTCCTTGGTGACGATTCGGGCTGGGAAGGGTCCGTGTCCTTCGTTGGTCGTCGTGGGCCGTCAGCACAACACAACACAGAAACACTGGCCTTATACAGGCAGCTTCGCGTCATTATACATGCTCTATTCCAGTACCTC